CCCCAAAACCCCAAAACCCCAAAACCCCTTTAAAAATATTTTAATTGATTTAAGAAATGTCTAAGCAAAATAGGAATACAACATTTTGGATGGTAAAGTCTGAAGGGAGTGATCCTGCCAAGTACAACCTATCGCCATGTTATAAATAAAGACACTTTTAATACTGGGTAAGCCCAATTATTGAACTATAGGTCTATCCCCTTTGGTGTATGAAAGCCTAGGTTTGATGATGATCTTTCATCTCTGTTCCATAGGCAGCCAGGTATACCTCCACTGATCTCTATAGGCCCCGGAGAGTACTTTCCAGACAGCAACCAGGCAAACCCCCTAAATTCACATAAGAAGAAGGAAAAATAGACCAGTGTTTATTTCAACTGTGCCTAAATTTCAAACAGAAAAACAATTTCATAGAACAAATTTAAAGCCGAATGCTAAAATGAGTGGCCAGAAGACCTCTCATGCTAAGAAGCAGCGATATAAATCTCTAGGTAGGCCAATAATAGCTTATTTTCTGAGGGATTGTTTGGGTGATAGTTACTCTAGTACAAAAGCCAATTAAGCCAATCTCAACACCCCCGCAAGACCTTGGTCCTGGGAAGTACAATCCCAGTACAACGCTTATATACAAAACTTCGCCTGCTTTTTCCCTTAAAAATCCTCGAACGCCTCAGATCCACAAGCAAAATTTACTAGCGAAGCCTACGATCCAAGGCTTACATGAGCCCCAGCCAGCACAGATTTTGGGCGTGAAGGGACAGGACCGGCAAGCAATCAAGTCAGTCGCCGATATCATTTCCATTGAGAAGTCTTTACTTAAGAAAATGGCCCAAGGAGCCAATGCTTCCTTCGTATCAACAACAAAGCGAATGGACTATAGATCCGATGTACCAGGCCCAGGGGCATATGAAGTGATCTCGAAGCATAAGAAACTGAAAAATCCAACTGAGAAAAATTGTAGTTATGATTCTTTTGGGACTAATGAGAAGAGAGCAGTTGAGTTTAATAGAAATATCAATTTTCCGTTTACAGATCCTACTTTTGTGGAGAATCCTCCTGTAGGACAATATGATAAACACAAAAGTGTGAAGGTAAAAACAGGCTTCAAGAATAAACCAAAAGTGCTAAGAAAGTATGCTAATTAGCTCAGATTTAGGTATAAACGTGCTAGGAAAAAGGTTAAAGGGTTCCCAGGTCCTGGAAGCTATAATGTTGATTTTTTAAATGAACTCCAAACATTAGACTACCAACTATCAGATAGATATGGCAAAAATCCTTTTGGTTCAAATCTACCTCGATTCAATCAGACAATTTCTAAAACTTTTGATACATCTATAAGAGATCAATATATCAATAACATCCACTCAATAAACAGACAAAAGGAGAAAAAGGCTGAAATACTCCAAAAGTTTTTCAAATAAACAACAGGAATCAAAGCAATCGTATTTCTTTCAGTCAGAAACCCAAAGGTTTATACCCCAGAATGCTAAAACTCCTTCTGGAAAGCCTTCAAATCCTCCAAAATCTAAAGTAAACCCTACAGTTCATCTATAGAAGTTGAAGATATTAAATTCTCTGCAGTCCGCTTTCAACCCTTCAGGTGTGAGACCAGTAAACTCTCCTTATGCACTTACATACATCGTCAAAAGGCCTGGGTTCAACTCCCATTCTCCTAGATTTCATTCTCCTAAGGAGTCGCCTGACCCGGGCCCGGGTCATTACTCCCCAAAGGTGAACCAAAATTAGGAGTTTGGAGGCACCCCAGTCTTGTAGCACAGTAGTTCAGCCAAGAAGAGGCTCAGGCCTCTTCTTGGCTAGAAGGGACTGGCTAAGTGTGTCCTTCCAAAACTCGGATTCTAATTTTCAATCTTGACCTAAAGTAGTGGGGTTTTGGGGTTTTGGGGTTTTGGGGTTTTGGGG